ATACATCTTAGCATCATATAATGCCGATTGGAACCATATATGACCATTATATGTTGTCATAAATGTCCGTGGTAGGCTTAAGTTCACAAAATTGGTGCAAAATGCGAATGGGTAACTTGACCGCTTTAAGGAAAATTGGATGGTTTCCACCCAACCAATTTGAGTCTCGGAGGGTATTAGGGACCATGGTATACATCTTGTATTTTTTATTTTCGGGCGAAAAAAGGTCCAAAAATATCAAAATTGAAAGCTATTATCCACGGTTATTGAGAAATTTTGGAGGTTACGGGGCCCGGTGGCGAAAAGTCTTGTGACCCTAGGTGATATATTTGAGGGTCATATAATGCCATTTGGAACCATTTATGACCATTATATGTTGTAAAAAATGTCCATGGTAGGGTTAAGTTCACGAAATCGATGCAAGTTGCGAATTGGTAACTTGACCGTTTTAAGGCAGATTGGATGGTTTCACCCACCCAATTGGACTCCCGGAGGGTATTAGGGACCATGGTATACATCTTGTTTTTTTTTTATTTTTAAGCGAAAAAAGGTCAAAAATTTTCAAAATTGAAGACTATTATCTACGGATTTTGAGGAATTTTGGAGGTTATAGGCCTGGTGGCGACAAGTCTTGTGACCCTATCGGATAGATTAGAGGGTCCTATAATGCCGTTTGGAACGATATATGACCATTATATGTTGTCATAAATGTCCGTGGTAGGGATAAGTTCATGAAATCGATGCAAGTTGCGAATTAGTAACTTGACCGTTTTAAGACAGATTAGATGGTTTCACCCACCCCATTGGACTCCTGGAGGGTATTCAAGACCATGGTAAACATCACGCCAATTTTTTTTCTAGGCGAAAAAGGTCTAAAAATTCCAAAATTGAAGGATATTATCCACGTTTTTTGAGGAATTTTGAAGGTTACTAGGCCCGGTGGCGAAAAGTCTTGAGATCCTAGGAGATACATCTTAGGGTCATATTAAACCGTTTGGAACCGTATATGACCATTATATGTTGTCATAAATGTACGTGGTAGGCTTGAGCTCACAAAATCGGTGCAAGTTGTGAATGGGTAACTTGACCGTTTTAAGGAAAATTGGATGGTTCCACCCACCCAATAGGACTCCCGTAGGGTATTAGGGACCATGGTATACATCTCGACAACTTTTATTTCCGGGCGAAAAAAGGTCCAAAAATTCAAAAATTGAAGGCTATTATCCACGCTTTTTGAGAAATTTTTGAGGTTACGAGTCCCGGTGGCGAAAAGTTTTGAAATATCAGGGGATACATCTCATGGTCATATAAAGCCATTTGGAACCATATATAACCATTATATGTTGTCATAAATGTCCGTGGTAGGCTTGAGTTCACGAAATCGGTGCAATTTGCGAATGGGTAACTTAACCGTTTTATGGAAAAATGGATAGTTCCACCCACCCAATAGGACACCCGGAGGGTATTAGGGACCACGGTAAACATCTCGATAATTTTTATTTTCGGGCGAAAAAAGTCTAAAAATTCCAAAATTAAAGATAAAGTATATTATCCACGTTTTTTGAGAAATTTCAGAGGTTACGGGGCCCGGTGGCGAAAAGTCTTGAGACCCTTGGGGATACATCTCAAGGTCATATAATGTCGTTTGAAACCATATATGAACATTATATATATCTTTTCATAAATGTCTGTGGTAGGCTTTACTTCACGAAATCGGTGCAATTTGTGAATGGGTAACTTGATCGTTTTAAGGAAAATTAGTTGGTTTCACCCATCCCATTGGACTCCCGGAGGGTATTCGGGACCATGATAAACATCTCGCCAATTTTTATTTTCGGGCGAAAAAATGTCTAAAAATTCCAAAATTAAAGGCTATTATCCATGCTTTTTGAAAACTTTTGTAAGTTACTGGGCCCGGTGGCGAAAAGTCTTGAGACCCTAGGGGATACATCTCAGGGTCATATAATGCCATTTGGAACCATATATGACCATTATATCTTGTCATAAATGTTTGTGGTAGGCTTGACTTCACGAAATCGGTGCAAGTAGTGAACGGGTAACTTGATCGTTTTAAGGAAAATTAGTTGGTTTAACCCATCCCATTGTACTCCTGGAGGGTATTCGGGACCATGTTAAACATCTCGCCAATTTTTATTTCCGGGCGAAAAAAGGTCTAAAAATTCCAAAATTGAAGGCTATTATCCACGTTTTTTGAGGAATTTTTGAGGTTATGGGGCCCGGTGGTGAAAAGTCTTGATACCCTAGAGTACATCTCAAGATCTTATAATGCCGTTTGGAACAATTTATGACCATTATATGTTGTCATTAATGTCCGTGGTAGGCTAAAGTTTACGAAATCGGTGCAATTTGCGAATGGGAAAATTAATTGTTTTGAGGTAAATTGGATGCTTTCACCCACCCAATTGGACTCCCAAAGGGTATTAGGGACCATGGTAATCATCACGGTATTTTTTATTTCCGGGTGAAAAACGGTAAAAAAAAATCCAAAATTTAAAGCTATTATCCACGCTTTTTAGGAAATTTTGGAGGTTACCAAGCCCGGGGGCGAAAAGTTTTGAGACATTAGGGGATACATCTCAGGGTCATAAAATGTCGTTTGGAACCATATATGACCATTATATGTTGTCATAAATGTCCGTGATAGGCTTGAGTTCACGAAATTGGTGAATATGCGAATGGATAACTTGATGTTTTAAGGAAAATTGGATGTTTCCACCTACTCAATTGGACTCTCGGAGGGTTATAGGGACCATGGTATACATCTCGGTATTTTTTTTTTTCGGGCGAAAAAAGGTTCAAAAATTCCAAAATTGAAGGCTATCCATGGTTTTTGAGGAATTTTGGAGGTTACAGGGCCCGGTGGCGAAAAGTCTCGTGACCCTACGGGATAGATCTCAGGGTCATATAATGCCGTTTGGAACCATATATGACCATTATATGTTGTCATAAATGTCCGTGGTAGGATTGAGATCACGAAATCGATGCAAGTTGTGAATGGGTAACTTGACTGTTTTAAGGAAAATTGGATGGTTTCACCCGCCCCATTGGACTCCCGGAGGGTATTCGGGACCATGATAAACTCGCCAATTTTTATTTTCGGGCGAAAAAAGGTCTAAAAATTCCAAAATTGAAGGATATTATCTACGCTTTTTGAGGGATTTTGGAGGTTACGGGGCCCAGTGGCGAAAAGTCTTGAGACCCTAGGAGATACATCTCAGGGTCATATTATACCGTTCGGAACCATATATGACCATTATACGTTGTCATAAATGTCCGTGGTAGGCTTAAGTTCACGAAATCGGCGAAAGTTGCGAATGGTTAACTTGACCGTTTTAAATAAAATTGGATGGTTCCACCCACCCAATTGGACTCCCGGAGGTTATTAGGGACCATGGTAAACATCTCGGTAATTTTTATTTTCGGGCGTTAAAAGGTCCAAAAATTCCAAAATTGAAGGCTATTATCCACGCTTTTTGAGAAATTTTGGAGGTTACGGGGCCCGATGGCGAAAAGTCTTGAGACCCTAGGGGATACATCTCAAGGTCATATAATGCCGTTTGGATTCATATATGACCATTATATCTTGTAATAAATGTCTGTGGTGGGCCTGACTTTACGAAATCGGTGCAAGTTATAAATGGGTAACATGATCGTTTTAAGGAAAATTAGTTGGTTTCACCCATCCCATTGGATTCCTGGAGGGTAATTAGGGACCATGATAAACATTTCGCCAATTTTTATATTCGGGCGAAAAAAGGTCTAAAAATTTCAAAATTGAAGGCTATTATCCACGCTTTTTGAGAAATTTTTGAGGTTACGGGGCCCGATGGCGAAAAGTCTTGAGACCCTAGGGGATACATCTCTGGGTCATATAATGCCGTTTGGAACCATATATGATCATTATATCTTGTCATAAATGTCTGTGGTAGGCTTGAATTCACGAAATCGGTGCAAGTTACAAACGGGTAAATTAACTGTTTAAAGGCATATCGGATGGTTTTAGCAAATTTTCAGCTAAAGCACCTATGATTGGGCAACTAGTTTTGTTCGACATGTCTTTAATCTGTCCAATTCGACCTCTTTCCTTGTATAAATAACTTAATATTTATTTTTCCCGTTAAACGTCGCGAACCAAACATTTCAAAGCAACCCTTAGCATTAGTTACAAGGGCAATAGGTTGGAAAGTGCTAGTGTGTGAACCATCCCAAGCCTTTAACTAACATTGATACCATTTTAAATAAATAATACTAATACAAAAATTGAGACGTCATTAGGAATAATCAGAAAAGAACAAATGACACAAAAATAAAATAAAAATAAAATAAAAAAGGCATAGTACAGTTTTGTAAAGAAAACAAAGATAATTGGCATGAATAAAGACAACTCTAAAGTCATCTTTCTTTCTTTTTTTTTCTTACTTTAATTCTATGATCAATATTAAGAGCAGCCCTCCTCTTAATTTCTGGAAACCCACGAATTTAGCCTGTGATTTTCATACATCACACCATTCACTTTTGTTTTTTTTTTTTTTTTTTTTTTTTTTTACCAAATTTCAGCAGTTATACTCTTCACCATGACCTCACTCCCTAGAAACACCTTCCTGGTTAGTACACTAATTATCTTACAAGAAGCCTCGGTTCAAAATTAATTGTCACGTCTTTTGTATAACATATACTACTCTATACATGTAACGAATTATTCCACAAAGGACGTTCGGATTTATATGTTACATTGGTCGATAGTATAAAGTATACGATTGTGACAATTGTTTCGAGAGTAATTAGTAATAGTATTATAAAGTATGTCACACTTTTTAATTGCATAATTGTTTGTTGGTGCTAGGCGCACCCAAATGAATTTCACATCAGTCATGCATGATGTCTGATTTTAATGTTGAATTTTCAAAACCCTTATCATAAATTTAATCCATAATTATTATATCTAATAATTTCTTACTAATTAATCATTTGTTTATTGCCATTGCCAATACTAACTATATATATATTATGTGAAACAGAGGTCCAAAGATATCAATAACTCTACTGACATTACTGTTAATACTAGTAGCAGTTCTTCATCTTCTTCACCTATTAATGGTGGTTTAACAAGAAAACCCAGAAAAAATCATAGCTTGAAATTCAGCAATTGTTCTTTGAACTTGAAAAGGTGGTTTTTTTTTTCAAAAGACAAGTTAAAAGTATGGAGCATACTTCTGCTAAGGATATTGTTGATGAGAAATCCGCCGTTGGTGGTGGTGTTCTTGACGTTTACGGTGAAGATTTCGCCACCGAGGATCAGCTCGTTACACCTTGGACCGTTTCTGTTGCTAGGTATATTAAATTTTCTTCATTTTGATTAATTTCATAATTTTTTGTTGATTATTAATTTTTCATGTTCAAGTAATCAAGTGTAATGATTATGTATTTGTGTTCTTGTTTATGAAATTGTTATTCTTGAATGATTGATTAAAGTTAAACTTTCATTTTTAAGTAGTTTTATGATCATGTTGATTGTCAATTTTGCATGTTCAAGTGTAACTCAAATTTGATTTTAATAAATTATTGCTACTATATATGATATTGATTTTATGGCTTGGAATTATTAATTAAAGCTATAATGTTATTAGAATTTTGTTTTTTTTAAGAGGTTGCATGTATTTGATGGATTCTTGGCGTTTTGCTTTAAGCAAGAATCTACCTTTGGCATTTTTAGTATAAACCCTTGATTCTAGTACTAGATGTTATTTATCTTTGATTACTTGAATTTTTTGTTGTGATCATTCCATTATTTGTACTATGTTTAACTAAATAAGCATAACTTTACTTTTAATGACAAGTTTTTGGACCGAATGTGTTAATGGGTGTTGCAAGCTCAGAGCTTAACAATCACTTATCAGTGTGTTCAAGAATTATTGTTTTAAGTTGGAGAAACAACTTAAGGGTGTTTTTGTACAATTTTCGATTAAGTGTACACTTCGAGCATAAGAAGGGACTCTATTTAATTTGTTGTTGGTAAAATGAAAGGTTTAAAAATGGTTGAGCTGATTGTGTGATTTTTAGTTCAGAAATTTTAGTTTTAGATGCAACACTTTGATGTGGGTGTTAGCATATTCTTGCCGTTAAGCTGGCAGCTCCCTTTCTTGCTTAAAGATGCTAAAGTGTGATAGATCTATGATTTTTATCTTATCTGTTGTTTACAAGAGAACATTTAAAATGGTCAGAGATTTTTTCTTTTTAGGTTTTCATTGCTGTTTGAATCTTAATTTTTTGAGCTAATATACTTTGTACTTTTTTCTTTTGTTCTTACAATTTTGATATTCTTTACCCTGATCATAAGCTGCTTTCTTTAAAAGTTCAGATCAGATAAGCTTTTAGCATACTGTAAATCAAAGTAATCTTTTTTTCCTTTTATATCTCTGGACTTATGTCTGTAATAGTTTTTCAAATGTGTTTAATAAGTTAATTTGCTAAAAGCTTAGTTGCAATTTAATGATATAATTTGTAGTTTTGTACTATCTTTTAAAGGGATGGGGTGCAAATGTGCGATTCTAGTTTTCACATAAGTTACTGCCAATGTAATAGGCTACCTGTATTGCCATGCAAACATGTACTAGATTTGAACATGTGCTAGATGTTAGTACGGGTTTTATTTGCAAGATATGAAGCGTTTTCTTTCTCTCATGGTGCAGTGGATATTCATTGTTGAGGGATCCACACTTCAACAAAGGACTGGCTTTCTCCGAAAGAGAAAGAGATGCCCACTACTTGCGTGGTCTTCTACCTCCTACAGAAATCTCTCAGCAGCTTCAGGTTGTGTTCTGTTAAATTCTTTATAATAGATATGACCTACTTTCTGGCTTTGTTATGTAATATTGCATGCACTTATGCCTAGTAAATTTGCAGGAGAAGAAAACAATGCACAACATTCGGCAATATCAAGTTCCTTTGCAAAAGTACATGGCCATGATGGACCTGCAGGTATCATTTTGTTCACTTCAATCTTTGGGTAATCTATGTTGATAATTTAAGTTTTGGCATGTGAATTTTGAAAACAATCAAACTAATAGTAAGCGGAACTCACATTTTGTTATGGACAAATGGGTTTGCATTCTTATTCTAGACATGATGCAATATGTACATTCACACAACAAAATACATTTAGCTAAGTATATCTCTACAATATCTAATGAAATCTGTATCGGTTTTTTTTCTTAACCCCCTTGCATTACCTGCAGGAAAGAAATGAAAGGCTGTTCTACAAGATTCTCATTGACAATGTTGAAGAATTACTCCCAATTGTCTATACACCCACTGTTGGTGAGGCCTGTCAGAAATATGGAAGCATCTTCAAGCATCCTCAGGGTCTATACATCAGTTTAAAAGAGAAGTATGAATGTTTCTTGCATTGTAAATAACTACTTGACTATAGTGCTTTACTGAACTTGAAGTGATTGGAGTTTAACAGGGGAAGAATTCTTGAAGTTCTGAGAAATTGGCCTGAGAGAACCATACAAGTTATAGTGGTGACAGATGGTGAACGGATTTTGGGGCTCGGTGACCTTGGTTGTCAGGTGGGTAAACATACCCTACCCTAGCTCTCAGTAGCCATTGTTATTGTAAAACTTGTGTGATTTCATAGCTGTGAGTAATGAACTTGTTTCAGGGAATGGGAATACCTGTTGGAAAATTAGTTCTTTATACTGCGCTTGGAGGAGTTCGTCCATCAGCTGTAAGCATTATAGATCCTAATTATTATTTTTTTGTTTAATTACTAATATGAGAAGCTTCATCCTAGCTTTCTTGTTTCAGTGTTTGCCAATAACCATTGATGTCGGGACTAACAGTGAGAAAATGCTTAACGATGAGTTCTACATTGGTCTAAGACAAAAAAGAGCAACTGGGAAGGTAATAAAGATTTCTTTATACTCCAATGTATGTGATGAAAATACTGTTACATTGTATACTGAGGCAACAGGAAAATATTTGTAGGAATATGATGAACTTCTTGAGGAGTTCATGAGTGCAGTGAAGCAGAACTATGGAGAAAAAGTTCTTATACAGGTTTGTTACCGTCTATAGTTTGATTATAACCGCCATTGTTTAAAGTAATCCATATCCTTTCATATTTTAAACTTCTGTACTTACTGGATTATTAACTATAGTTTGAAGACTTTGCCAACCACAATGCCTTCAAGCTGCTCTCAAAATACTCAACAAGTCATCTTGTGTTCAATGATGATATTCAGGTATGTAATGAGATAGATAGATGTTTATGCAATTGTCAAATCCTTTGTCAACTCAAACCTTCTTTGTCTATCCTTCTCTGCGTAGGGAACTGCATCTGTTGTTCTAGCAGGAGTTGTTGCGGCACTAAAATTAGTTGGTGGCACCTTGGCAGAACAAACATTTTTATTCCTCGGAGCTGGAGAAGTAAGAATTATGCCTGTTTTCTTTGACCTTGAAGTTTGAGTGTAACGATAACAAAAAAGTGTGGTTCTGATTGATACAGTTTCTCAATAAATGTGAAGCTGATTGAATTCTGTGGTTTGATATTGTAGGCTGGTACAGGAATTGCTGAACTTATTGCTCTTGAGATGTCCAAACAGGTATGTAAAATAAATATGTGGAACTATGCTTCCCCTTCTTCGTGACATTTGGAAGGAGGACATTAACATAACTGTGACCTTTTTTTACTGCAGACAAAAGCACCTTTGGAAGAAACTCGCAAGAAGATTTGGCTGGTTGACTCTAAGGTAGTGGAGACTTGAACACTATGAAAAGAAGAAAAATAAAATAAAATCGTCTTTGTGTTGTATCCTCTATTTCAAATCTCTATATTCACTTATATCGAAGTTTTCTTATAGGGCTTGATTGTCAGCTCAAGAAATAATTCACTTCAAGAGTTTAAGAAGCCATGGGCTCATGAACATGAGCCTCTTGTTGATCTCACAAGTTCTGTCAAGGTGAAATTTTTAACTAGATGAAGGTCATTTCATTGGTTTATGTTTGTATGTTGTGATGTCAGTTGACACGTGCAATTGTCTTTAGGCAATTAAGCCAACCGTATTGATTGGATCATCTGGTGTGGGGAAAACATTTACAAAAGAAGTCATCGAGTCCATGGCCTCTTTTAATGAGGTGAGCCAAGACATTCACTGGAAATCTGCAATAATATAGTTTCAGCAATATACTCATTCAGAAGATTGCATACAATCTTTTCTGTATGGAAGACATACGAAATAGAATATAGAACCTTTACTAATTATATGTCAACGTGTGGTGCAGAAACCTCTGATTATGGCTCTTTCTAACCCTACAACGCAATCAGAATGCACTGCAGAAGAAGCTTATACTTGGACTAAGGTAACAAATTGTATAGAGACCCTATATTACTAGAGGGTCTGATTAGAATTCTATACACTGTCAGTAATGTGTTGGCTTTATTGATTCTGAATAGCTTCTTTCTTATCTCTGAATAAAAGGGTCGTGCAATTTTCGCTAGTGGCAGTCCCTTTGACCCTGTTGAGTATGAGGGAAAAACTTTTGTTCCTGGCCAGGTAAAGAACTTTATCCTTGTACTATCTCAATTAATACTATTATAGAACGAATGTGATGGATTGTTTCATTTTCATCTACAGGCCAACAATGCCTACATCTTTCCTGGATTCGGGCTGGGTTTAGTGATGTCTGGTGCAATCCGAGTCCATGATGACATGCTTCTGGCAGCTTGTGAGTATTGCTATAATCTTCAGAGTTATTTCTCTTGTACTAGTTTCAGTATATTTCCGATTTTTATTAAGGGTTAGAACATTATGTTTTAAGTATACAAAGAACTAAAGGATAAAAGTTTAAAATTAAGTTATTTTAGGAAATTCTAAAGTGATTGTCCTTAAGAGGATATCATTTAATGTTGTGTTACGTACTAGTATTAATCTGTACATCCTTACATAATTTGCTCTGTTGTATTCTTTATAAATATCTGAAAATGCTGACCTTTTTTAACGATACCAGTATATATACCATGTCTCAAAGTTACCCTTGATTACGAAATGAGTTCAGACTAACCCTGCATCAACAAGCTTAAATGTTGAAACATTAATATTCACTGCCATGAGAGCTCATTTTTTCAGTATTTCCTTATAAAAAACACCAGTAGGATTTGTAGATGGGACAAAAGTTTTAGTATAGGCATAATTCTAAACTTCATTTTTATTGTAGCGGAAGCCTTGGCTGGACAAGTGACTCAAGAGAATTATGACAATGGGATGATCTATCCACCGTTCTCCAATATTAGGAAGATATCAGCACAAATTGCTGCTAATGTTGCTGCAAAGGCCTATGATCTAGGTGAGCACTCTCCCCTACCTTCTTGTGCACTATATATATACTTTGGCATATTTACCACAAACTTCGTCTTTGGCAAAATGCTGTATGTAAATTTTTTTCTTCTTCTCATATTGCATTGTTACAATGATTTACATATTTTTGTGCAGGTTTGGCAAGTCGCCTCCCTCGTCCTGAAAACCTTGTCAAGTGTGCAGAGAGTTGTATGTATAGCCCAGTTTACCGCAGCTACCGTTAATTGAGTAAATGACGACAGATACAGCAAGTGTGTTGCCTCTATGTTTCTTGTCAAAGGCTTTTTTTTTTTTTTTTTTTTTTTTTTTTCATTGTGTGATTTTGTGAGTAGGTGTGTATTTAAGGGAATAATTACTTTTAGTAATGGCAGCAACCATATGTATTGTATGTTTCATATTTATCTGGCTAAGTCGCCTAAGAGGCTAAGAGTCTGTAAGCATCCATAGGACTGTTTGTTGTTTGTTCATATGTTGTGCAAGTGTAAGTTTGTGAATAACGTCGATGAAAATGTAATCTATGGAAATGAAAGCTTGTAAAATGTTGATGAAATGTAAGCTTGTAAAATGTTGATGGAAATGTAAGTTTGTGTTTGAACAAAAGACTTCGTAAACAATTGCTAGTACATGAAGTGCGCGTCTCTTCAATCCTTTGAATGTATCTAAAATTTGAAGTAAAAAAAATGCTTGTTTGTAATCCAATGAATAAACTGGCTAACATACATCAGTACCTGCATTACTTAACGTTCTTTGACGTTTACAGTAACATGAACGCGAAAAAAGACAGTAATTCGGTCCTGCACAAGTCCTACAAAACTGTGGTTAATCTGGCTATGCTTCTGAATGCAATAGCATGTCATTTATATTCCAAAGAAATATTCAAACTTCCAGATGCAATATGGACAGTAGGTGGAACACGTCATAGATGATAATGAGCCTAGCTAACTCGTGAGCTACTTGAGTTCGACTCAAAATTTTCATTTGGTTCGAGTTCAACTGTTTATCCATTAAGACTATAACATGGAATAAAATCTACAAGACGTATAATAATCAGATAGAATAAACAAACTTTACTATATATGTTGTCCCAAGAAAAAAAAAAAAAAAAATCCGACCTGCCGGAATCGAACCAGCGACCTAAAGATAATCTACGTACAACTACAGTCTTCCGCTCTGCCAACTGAGCTAAGGTCGGGTTTTGAATTAGTTGAATGTTAAATAAAATTTATTATAATTTAAAATTATATAAAGTTGGGTAAAAAAATAGAAAAAATATCCGACCTGCCGGAATCGAACCAGCGACCTAAAGATTATCTGCATACAACTACAGTCTTCCGCTCTGCCAACTGAGCTAAGGTCGGATGTTGTACAAATTTGGACACTTTGTATATTAATATAATTGCGTCTATTACTTATATTCGTACACATATATAATGCATGTTATTCACTTGATTTATAGGGATAAATCGAAGTATATTCGTATGTGGTCCAACCAACTCCTTTGAATAAATCCTAGTTGATAACGACACACAAAAAAAAAAAAATCGTACTATTGAAGAAGATAATAATAGTTATTTCTGGTAGACAAATTTTTAAATAAATCGGATGTACAATAAATATTGAATATTTGTTATAAAGTTATCTTAAAATGAGCAAAAGTTACCCTTAATATGAAGATCACTGCCCCAAACTCGTGAAAAAATTGACAGATATATATTTCACGAATGTTACTGCTTTTTCAACATCCACTTTCTCCTTATCTCCGCGTCAGGTTGCCTTATGAAAATCCTAGCAGGGGGATCACTCTTTCGCCTGGTTGCGGGCGGTCCCAATATCAGGGTTGAGTCCTACTATGAATGGTAAGTCTTATCGTTCTATTCTTTGCTATAGATTCCATTGTTCTCGGTTTCGACGTCGTGTTCTGCTTGCTTAAGGGTTTTCGATGGGGATATATTAAGAGATCATGCATTATCCTGTGTTGGGATGGTGGGTATTAAATATCGGCATAATGTTGTTCGCGACACTCTTGTTGATATTTGTTTTCGGTCTGAGATTTCTGCTAGAAATGAGGTTAACGTTGGGTTGACTAGAGGGAACGATGAGGATTTTCGACCTGCAGATGTGTTGCTTTATTCTTGGGATAGGGGTCTTGATGTGTGTGTTGACTTGAAGGGATCTTCTCCTTTGACACAATCAGGGTTTTCTGACTATGTTCCTCATCGTGTTGTGTCGGTTACTGCACAGCGGAAACTGGATAAGTATGGGGAGCGTTACAAGGCTATTGGTTATGGTTTTCTTCCTTTCTCCTTTTCTTCTTTGGGGAATTAGAAAGTGATGTTTCGTTGCTGAAACGGGTTCAGGTGTTCGCAAGGACGCAGGATATAGGTGCTCATGCAGCTGCTCACATTTTCAGCAAGATCGGGTTCGCTATAGCTAAAGGAGTGGGACCCATATTGTATCTCGGTTCCCCACTAATTTCTTGTAAATCTACTGACTTTGTAGGTTTTTGTTAATAATAATAATAATAATAATAATAATAATAATAATAATAATAAGAGCTATTCACAAAAACAAATAAATGAACAATAATAAAGGCTATCTTTTTTTTTTTTTTTTTGACTTGGTAGGTTGTTAATTTATACTACTAAATTTAATACTCCGTATTGGCAGAGAGTGACGGATAACTCAAGTGGTTAAAAATTCCCTCCCGATTCTAGAAGATTATGGGATCGATTCTCACCCCCGCTCATGTGGCTCTCTAAACACCAAAAAAAGTACTCCGTGTTGACGAGAAGGATAACAATTTAGTATGTTTTGCTTAAAAAATTTATGTTACACACTTACAAGTAAATTTTTTATTACTAAAATCGTACATCGCAATGGGAGTAAATTTATTACTAAAAATTTACTGTAATAAAGTAATAATCATATGTCTGTCCCTTATTTTACTCTGAGAGCTCCAATTCTCCATCTTTTTTTTTTTGATAAAGTGATAGTTTAAAACTTTTATTCTTCAAGAACAACTAATTCCAAACCAAAAGTCACACCTTTATCATCAAAAGCGCTCTCGTAGCTCAGTTGGTTAGATCACCCGTTTAGTAAGCGGGAGGTCTTGAGTTCGACTCTCAACAAGAGCATATTATTATATTTGTGGGTTAGATCACCGTTTATTATATTTGTGGGTTTTTTTCAAAAAAACTCTTCAGCTTTTATTTTTATACAAAAATCAGACAAATTGGCGTCGCCCGGAGCCACCAGCATGGCAGTTGGCTTACTTAGAGAAGAGGAGTGTGCTTTGAGCCACCGGCACGACACCTCAACAACGTCAGCCACCAGCGGGGTATGCTTTCAACTTGAGAGATTAACATAAAATCATTCATATTGCAATCAAAGATAGTCCGATAAAACATGTACTTCTATTACTTAACAAGCCAATGCAACAATAAGCCTGCTCGCATTACTTTAAGAAATGAATGAACAGTGCCAATCATTGGCAATCTACTACTCCCTTTGTCCCTTAATTTTTACACCATATGACTCATAAAACTTTTATAGAAAGTGAACTCATGGTGTAAAAAAAAAGGGGGGGAGGGAATACCGGAATATTTTATTAAATGTATCAAAGACATTTGCAGCTTATAGAGTTAAGAGTTTTAAGATCATCCAATAATCTAAAATCAGATGATAGACATATTGAGAGTCTGTTTTCTTCAACTTAATTTCAGTTCAGCTTCAATCAGTTCGGTTCATTTAGGTTTAGTAAATTAGAACAAGCCCTGCGAGTTGAATGATTCAAACTTGTAATATAAAGCAAAGTATAAATCTTCTGCTATTACATCTTGGATTACACAAAAACATCTTCATTTTCATCACTAATGTTCTTGGTAACAATGAAATCACAGGCAATAGAGCGTAATAGCGCACGGACCTGCTCAAGCTAAAAAGTGACAACTAAAACAAAAACTTAGGAGGATAATTGTCTCCAGTGATAATGTTAAGCAAATTAGCAAAATGCCAAATGCAATGAGAGCACAATAATCATGTGTGGCAAAGTGCCCAATTAATCTTAGAACAATAATGAAAATTAAAAGTAATTCAAAGTGCTCTCGTAGCTCAGTTGGTTAGAGCACCCGTTTAGTAAGCGGGAGGTCTTGAGTTCGACTCTCAACGAGAGCATTCCATTTTTATTACTTTTGTATTTTTTGGGTAGCTGGTAAAAGATAATTCAGTAAAAGTTGTTTGACTTGTGAAATAGGTTGTTAATCAATCCTACACAATTGATCTAGCTGATACTCATAATCTCTTAACCACGAATAATGAACCAAATGCATAAAAAGCTAATATATTCACATCTGCTGAATGATTTCTGGAATATCTGGGGACGCAGCCTGTTATAATACCAACCTTTGAAACTACAATATTATAGCAATTCAGCAAAAATGTACATGTCTAGACCAATTATCCAACTGACTACTAGTAAATTAGTAATGCAGTCACATGTATTTGAGAGTTAGATGCACAACCTCAGCTGCCTGATTTGAATCAGATTACAGATTACAGTTGTATTACTTTGTGACGCATAGTTCTGCAGGGAATAGTGGATAATCTTCAAGTAATGCAGAGTTTTGCTGACAAAAGTGGCTTCATCATATTTGAACGATGGGACTAAGGACATGGCAAGTATCTAAACAGAAGGTCGTTGAAGGGAAGCAATAAACTACTTGAGGACAACAGCAGCATTTCTAAGAGCCAGATATCGCTGCACGTAATCATTGGGAAGTGACCTGATTTGCTTAAAAACTTCAGCATTGGCATAACGCATATTGGTCCTTGGATCAGAATAAGGTGCCTGCATGAAATTAACAAATTTCACACACTAGGGGAAAAAAAAAATCTAACTATATATGAGCAACCACCTTTTTTGTTATTTACTTATCAGGTGGAAGACTTAAGATAAATTATCTACTCATATAAAAAGGATGCTCATCTTCATGCAAGCAGGTGAAGGATACTCATCTATTAATCTACGGAGTAATACAAAGTATATCACAAGGATTAGCTAAAAAATTGCTTAGTAGTAAGTAGCACCTAGCACTGAAAGACCATCAATGAAACATCAGAGGAGTACTATATGCATCAGTCTAAAATCTTCAATGAATAGTTTCCCACCACCTCCATTTGGACTAAAGAATTTTTACTACCTATTCTAGTCTCCAACTGAGTTCCACATTATATCAAACTCAAGGCATAGTGGGTGTGTCTGCATATGGAGTTACACTATTCAAAATTCTGAGTAACAATCAACAAAAAAGGATGCATTCGGAAGAGTGGTCTTGAAATTCAATAATTTTGAACCTACTACAACCTTAGCATTCAGTTAGCATAGAATTTCCTTAATTCGTCGTAACTCGTAAGACCAAAACAAAAGGAACCACAGCATTTGAGTTTAAGAGATGGAAAAGAATTGACCTTCAGCCAAACACATTAACACAGTAACACCATTAAAATATGAAAGTTTCTCAAATATTGGCATCAAAATTTGCACCCTATTCCTTACCTTGAAATACACTGCACTGAGTTGATCTCAATAACTAACATCTAAAAATTCAACCATGGTAGCACAGATAAAGGATGATGGTCACCATTAATTAATGTTTTGGTAAGTATGAATCATTCACAGTAATAAATGTTGCATTATTTAAAAAGGGACTTACCTCATATCCTGTAAAATCACAAATTCTCTTTGGTGGATGCATTGAAGGTGGTGACTCGATATTAACATCTGTGAAAAAACGTTTACAATGGGGAAAACGCAAGATAAAATTCATCAATGATACATCAAAGAGCAATTGAATGGCTTTGAGATATAAACGAAAAATACCTACAAATCCTTTACATAAATCCATATCCTAACCGTGATAATTCACACATAAATTTTGAAAGACATAATTCAATACCCCTCCAAAAAAATGATCTTAAAAATAGTCACACATCGAATCCTCAAATAAACACATAAGACAAAGCATTGAAGCAAAAGTGCAAAACCCAATTCAGAAGTTATACATCATTCAAAAAACACTTAATACATCATCTGTTTAGAAGCAAATAAAATGTGGGGAAATAATGCATTAATAATGAGAAACTCACAATTGGGTTCATCAGGAGGGTAATTGCTGTAATTTTCAGCTTGGAGAATCTGTTTGAGATGCTTCCAATGCCTGCCCCTAGATTGACCCTTAGGGTACTTCTCATACATCTGAATCTTCTTGAACTTCAAGTGGGTTGGCAGCACTAACTCTGCCTCCACCACCTCTCTCTCCATTCTGGGGCTTCAAAATCTCGGCGTATTCACTGGCTTGTAATTTTACAGTATAAGTGGAAGACAGATTTTCCCCAACAGATATCTTATCTCGGATGAGTTGGATCCCACAGTGAGGCTTCTATGTTATCAGACCTATAATAAGAAAAGGGCATGCTAAGAACCAGATAAACACTGAAAGCAAACAAAACTCCGAACAGCTGGATTTGAACCAGCAACATAAGGATTCATTGTATAACGAACTACAAACCTTCACTCTACCAACACAAGTACACAACTAAGTTTTAATCAATCAACGCCAAAAAGAGTCAATCTTTTACACTTTTGAAATGATGTAACCATGTTGTGCCTTATCAGTAAATTTAGTCAAGGAAAGGACATCATCAATTTTTACGTATCAAATAAAGCGATTTGATATTATAGCTTTACCAAGAATTACATTCATGCAATGGATGTTAATCCCGAACAAGAGACCTATGGAACAGGAAATCCAACAGGCCACCAGTTCCTGACTCAATTATTCAGTTCCTGATTCAATTACCCAAGAACAACACTCTTACGGAATAGGAAATCCACCGGTTCCTAACTCAATTATCCCAAGAACAAAAGTCATACAGAATAGGAAATTCACTAGTTCCTAATATATTGACCCAAGAACAACACACCTACGGAATAGAAAATCCACCATATCCTAACTCAATTACCCAAAAATACGGAATAGGGCTTCACACCAAAGAAGGGTATGGATATGCGCCACAAGTAGCAGGTTTACCTGCTTGCTTTAACAACTATAGTTCTCTGCTCTACTAACTGACTAAGTCGGTTATTGATACAATTGCACAAGTTCTATAACTAAAGTTCACCATGTGACCAACATTATACCATGTAATCGTTTAGTCTTTTACCCAATCATGAAACGAATTTAAGTTCCATGGTGCAGTGGAGAACAAGACCATGAGAAGCATCATAAAACCACGACAACGTAATAGCCAGTATAAACATTTTTTTTTCTACTATTATGTAGACCTTTGCAATTAGAATTTTAGATTAGTCATTTCACTATTAGAATATATTCCTGGATACTTCTCTTAAATTGAATACCACACCAAGACATTAATAATCTGTATACAAGATCCTAATTCTCACTATGAACATAGAGACCATAACTAAAAAAATAAGACAGCTAAACAGCTGCACTAGCATAGAAAGTAGTGCTTCAAATCTTGAACAAATGTTTTCAAGATCCCACGCATCACAATAGCATGTTATCATAATAAGCAATATCTAAGACTTGGAGCAAAGGAAAGTTTTGGAGGTATGTGGAAGAAAGCAGATTAAATAACGCAATAACAAAGAATTATTCAAGCAGCTGGATCCAACATATTTTGTGTCAGAGATTGGTTCATATTCAAATAAAATGAAAAGACCAAGAGTCATGATAGCCATAATTTCTTCTCTTGACCATATAATTTTAGGAATTTTCAGTGTCAACTGTCAAGGCCAGGATTTCTTAAATGTAAGAAAAGAAGCTCACACGGCTAAAAAAACTCTGATAGGCTATCAATAAATAATTTGATCATAACCAAAATTATAAATTCCATTCCAATTCCAAATCCTTCAGGAGCTTAGGCATCTTACTCTAAGTAACCTTTCAGTATGAAACCAAAGACTCAAAGCCACCAAAATGAAAGAGGTTTGACGGGATATTAGCTAATTTCCTATAGTATACAAAAAGAATCACTGTAAGTAATTCCCTTCAATCTTGAAAGTCAATTTAGCGTTATAAAACAGCTAAAGCGGTAGAATTAATTGCAAAAGAATCATAACAGGACCACACATGGTCTAAATCTTTAAACTTTGTCATAATAGGTTGAGTTAAAGGATGCTAATTTAATGCATTTTCTCCTTGCTCAGGCTTACTTTTTAAATACAGAAAATTAACATATCCATGATAATCAGCATGGAATAATATATATAACAATTTCTTTTTTTCTGTCAACCTTATAAATATTTTCTTTATCTAAAAAACCTTGAATTCTCTTCTAAGTCTAAAGTACCTCAGCAATGCCACCCTACTATCATGGTTTCTTCTCTGGCTGCACAGCTTACAGCCAAAGACTCGATTTAAGAAAATTTTCATGGATGGAGAGTGGAGAAATTTTATCACATATACTTCACAAAAATGGATAATCAGAAAATATGATGAATTATGATTTACTAATTTAGTCACGCCAATCAACCAAGCAAAATGAAGAAGTGCATATAGATAGTCTGTTCGATCAACTACAGTCCTCTACTCTCCATCATATCTAAGGTCGGATGACTCGGATCTTGTCACTATAGCTAAACATAATTAATTACAAGTCTAAAATCCCCATTGTTGTGTCAACCAGGATAGAAACTGTAACACATACTGTATTTTAAATTGATTACCTTAGATTAATTATCGATTGCAGCATATAATCCAACATTACATAATTAATCTCCAAAAGCTTAGGTATGTTATTTACCTCTTCTCTAATTAAGACAGTAATGTTTAATGAGAGATCTACTTTATTCAAATATATTTATTACTTACATGCCCTTCTCTAAAAAGATGTGATCTTTCATTAACCTAAATAGGGACATGACCTCCAAAAAAGAAGAAAACAGCCACAAACAACTAATGAATATCAGCAGTATACAATTCAGAGTAGCACAAATAATTATGTGGAATCAAGCAAATTAATTGACCCAGGATCAAAAATTAGAAACAAAACAAATTGTTATGTCATGTAGATGATCCATCAACAAAAAAATCCGACCTGCCGGATTCGAACCAGCGACCTAAGGATTAATCTGCTGATCAACTACAGTCCTCCGCTCTACCAACTGAGCTAAGGTCGGTTCTTGCTACCCTTATTCATAATTAATTCTATATAAACTGCACAAATTCTTATGTTTGAAGTGAATTTGAACATAATCAATTCAAAAGTATATCCCAAATTAATGAATTATTTTATCCAAGATATATTTAACCTACAATTGCAAGCTAAATTCGAGTGATATACAATTGAATTCCTCAAATTCCTTTGAATAATTCGCATGTTTTCTCCACAATTATACAAGAATCTTCATCAGTATAGTAACAAATTAAACATCAATACGATATTAATCTAACATAAATAAAAATAAGAAAAATCAGAAGCCGTAAGGAGAGATAATTCAAGAGTTTTGGAATGGAAAATCAACGAATTGCTATATATAATTGAGAAAAAAATCCAATAACAAAAAGAAAAGCTTACCATTGAATTTAGAATGGAATCGAATCTGGATAATTAGGGTTTATTCTAATCTTTTGGGCAGGTTTTCGATTTCTTCTTTTCTGTTGCGTTAATTTTAACCGGAACTGTGATTTGAGGTTGGTTTTAGGGAGCCGTGTAGGGTTGTGTACTTGTGTTTAACGGTTTATTATAAGAGCTTAGCTAACCATTGATTTTGTTATAGTATATTTTTTTTTAAATGAAAAATTTGTAAACTTTGGATTAAGCGGAGTTGATAAATAAAGAATTAAAAGCGGTTGGATCATGAGTAATGGGACAGTATTTTAGTGGTTTTTTTTTTAAAAAAAAATTATCTAAGGATAAACTTTTAGAGACGAAGAGAGTATTTCGAATTATTCATTCTAAATATAATTCAAGTTCGAATTGCCTTGATATTTGAACTTGAATTATATTTAGAATTTAAATGATTGAAACTGATCTAAACCATATATCCATAATTGTAAACAAAAATGAACCTAGACTCGGCAGGGCACAACTGAAATCAAATAGAGTTGAATTAAATTGTTTTCCGATTATTAACTATTGTAATCGACTAACCTAAGTCCTAAGGAGGAGCAATATGGGTATTCTAGTAATATTATTTTACTAGATTTATAAGTCCTTAGTATAAATTATAACTAGAGTTGGAGGGGAAAGAAAATGTTTGGCTAAACATTGTATTTGAGAAAACTTAGATAGTCATGGCCTCAAGCCATTAACCTATCCTTTAATCGTTTGACACATGCTCGAATCGAATGTCTCCAAACCAGAATATGAACTTTATGAACCCAGCCGAAATGTTACCCACCACAATATCATTTGATGACTCGTTTGCTGCCGAAATGCCTCTAAATGACTCAGTTTGCTGCCTCTAAATGACTCGTTTGCTGCCTCTAAATATGTTAGGTTTATCTATTTTTCAAAATTTTGACAAATAAAGAGAATCTTAATCAATCGGTAACCTGTGTCTGTATATTCAAGTTCCTGCTAACATAACTAATCAGTTTTGTGATTTCGTCAACCATAAACACTAAACAGGCATATACTTCTCATTCAAGTCCTCAGTATCAATCAGCATTAGACACACTTCACCACTATGTTGACACTGCACAAGCAGAGAGCCGATTCTCAAATGCTCAGTCGACACTAGTTGATAAGTAGAAAACATGTCTAGTTTACTTGAAAGTCCACGATTCACTTACTGTGAGTCTGTGACCAGCTGGTTGGACACACAACACATTGTCACTGAAACTGATGCATGCAGGACGCGGAACATTTAACAGTGCTAGCTTGTGCAAAAATGTGGGTTAAAAAAATGAAACATGGAATAATCCCAAAGGAATTCACAAGGGATTTAAAAGACAGTGTAAGAACAGGAATTTGGACATTCAAAACCTAAATTAAAGTTGCCAACAAGGCCAAGCATAAGTCAATAAGTAATCACACAGTCTAATGTGACAAGACTGACAACCAACTGTACACAGAACTTGCAGATAAAAAAAAATGTTAATAAACATACATGCGGAAGCAAAAAGGAGAATGGCGTCGCCCGGACTCGAACCGGAGACCTTCAGTGTGTGATAACCAACTACACCACGACACCATTTGATGAGAAACACACAAAAATTATGTGACATCACCATAGAATTTTATTAAACAACAATAATAATTAGATGCAGAATTGCATATCCACCTAAACAGATCATATAAATTTAATACTTCACAAGCAGCAATCTCTAAATGAGTAAATTCATTGACTTGTACAGGTTACAGAAAGAAGCTCAACAAACTCAGCCAAGCATGCATCACATACTTTCAGTCAAATACTATTTATTCAGAAAGAACAAGTAACAAAAATTGGCGTCGCCCGGACTCGAACCGGAGACCTTCAGTGTGTTAGACTGACGTGATAACCAACTACACCACGACACCATTGCAAGAATAGAATAATATGTTATATTGTCAGTTTGTCACCGCCTGAGTTAGATAGCCAGAGTGTTAAAACTGCTATTTCGTTGCAAATTTCATCTCAGAATTAATCATTTTTTATAAACCTATTTCCCAATCATGAAATGTGTACCAAGCCATCAGCCAAGAGGTATACAAACACCATTTCTAGAATTGAACTACCAGCAGTCCAGCAAAGAGTTTAAGGCAGAGAATGAAAGTAAAATGAAGGTATAAAAGGCATAAGGCCGCAAACTGATATTATCATTGTTGAAAAAAAAAAAAAAACAAATTGCTGAATTGTGCAAATTTATCAGGAAAAAAAACAGTTGAAAAAAGGAAGAAAGAAAATTCATTTTTACCAGCGTTATGATCTGCTGGATTCAAACCAGCTGCCTAAATTGAGCGCATATGACGATGATTGTACAAATATTGTCCTTAGCTCGACCAGGCCAACTGACATTAATCCACAGCAAAATGGTGTCAAGACTGTCAACAGCTCATTCATGGCAGATTTTTTGGCATAAGTTGTAGTTCAATTGCAGTAATTCAACATCCTGTAAATAATTAACTCCTAATCAAACTTGTTTTCTATACCTACTGCAGACTGTATATAAAGATTAGAAAACATGAAAAAGAAGCAATGCCTATAATGCAGAAATTGCAGAGAGTTCTGAGAAGGAAAAAGAAAAACAGATAAAAGATAAAAGAAAGAAACACCATCAGCCTATGTAATCTCTGTCACCAGATTTCTCAAGGTCAAAGTGTATTCAGAACTCAAAACATTATAACGAAAAGAAGGAGATCTCATAGAAGTAGAGCTGTCAGTTTCTAACCCGAACCGTTAAACCCGACTGTTTCGAACCGATCCGAAAAGGAACTGAACTGTTTAAAACCCGTTTTTTGGAAACCGAAAACTGACCCGACCCAATTTTTTCCAAACCGAAACTGAACTAAACCGAATTTGTGCAAACCGTTACTAACCCGACCCGTTATCAAGCCAAACCGTTACAACCCGAAACTGAAAGCAACCCAAACCGATTACGTTTAAACCCGATAGTAACCCGACCCGTTTTAAACCGAAAACCGTTAAAACCCGATAAAAATCCGATAAACCTAAATCGTTCCAACCCGTAACCCGTTGTGACCGAACCGGTTATAATCCGTAACCCGTTGTGACCGAACCGTTTACAACCCGTAGCCCGTTATGACCAAACCGTTTAAAACCCGTAACCCGTTATGACTGAGTCATTTACAACCTGTTACCCAATATGTTTATGATCTAATCTGTTTCAACCCACTACTCGATAAACCCAACTTATTTATGACTTGACTTGATTATAACATGACTCGTTCCTACCCATTATCTGACTAATTCGACTCGATAATCATCCGACTCAATTTTAACCCGATATGATTTTGATTAGAAACCCGTTTCAAATTGGGTAAACTCGTTTTCAAACCAACCAAGTTCAATCTAAACCGATTATAACCGAAACAATAATGGTTGGACCCGATTTCACCCGATCTATTTTGAACCGAAACCCATTTTCGAACCGACCCAGTTAAACCCAAACTGATTATAACCCGAACCAATTACGACCCGTCCTGATTAAGACCCGAACTGTTTTTAACCGAAACCCACATTAAATGGGCTAAACCCGTTTTCAAACCGACCCAGTTCAACCCAAATTGATTATGACCCGAACCGACTAGAACCCGACCCGATAAGGACCCAATCCGAATAGAAACTGCAATTAAAAAAACCAAACCGAACTGACCCGATAATTTTCAAAACCGACCCAAACCGACCCGCTTATTATTTCAGTCCGTTATAAACCGACCCGTTATAACCCGAAACTGATAAACCCAACCCAAACCCGAACTGTTTAACCGAAATGACACCCCTACATAGAAGACAAAAAAAAATTCTTTGGTCTGCAAGATCAGATTGAACGACCCACCATCATTGTGGGCATAAGCAATTGCAGTCTTTCGTTCTAACAACTGAACTAAGGTCAAGGCTGCAAAAGAAAGTCACATTCTAATATTCTATATTAACGTTGGTTGACTTGGTTCAGACATCCAAGTTGTCAGACATAAAAACAATCAAGTCAATCATGCCTAGAATTGAGATAAAAGTAATGATCTATGCTGGCCTAGTACAGTCTTGCACTCTACGGAAAACCAAGCAAGGCTTGCCTCTTTGCTATCCTCTAGCTCCAATATACTAAACTTTTTAAAACTGGACTCTGCTTTCCTGTAGAGCTCCACGTAAATGACACCTTTCAGATATCACACAAAGAAGTCTCACCTTTAATGGACTACTCTAGCAGATTACAGAAGCACATGCTTAGACAGGCAATCACAACAAGACAACATTGCAAGGTCAACGACATTCAAAAGAAAAAAGTAATACAACTGCTCTCGTAGCTCAGTTGGTTAGAGCACCCGTTTAGTAAGCGGGAGGTCTTGAGTTCGACTCTCAACGAGAGCATTCGATTTTTACAATCAAGCTTCAAGCATGACCAGAAAGCAAAACAGCATAGGAAGCAAAAATATCCGACCTGCCGGATTCGAACCAGCGACCTAAGGATTATCTGGTTGACAAACTACAGTCCTCCGCTCTACCAACTGAGCTAAGGTCGGCTATTACACTAATGAACTGTGAATGTTGAAATTCAACTATACTCAGACCCCTTTTGTTAAAGAGGGGGATGTAAAAAATTTCATTAATGAAACACCATATTGCATCTTCAAGCCGCTTCTGAATAATAAGAAAATAAGATACTGCAGAAAGTTTCTAAACCAGGTAAAAGAAAACCAAGTTTGACAGCATAATCACGGAATCAATATCACCATTAAAGCATGAAAAAATATTGACAACAAAACACAAATCAATTGGTTAAATAGCCATAAGTCTTGATTTGAGGATAGATGAACAACTATAGTACTCTGCTTTAACAGCTAAGGCCGGTCTTGTAACTCTTGCTTCAAATTCACAGTTTGAAATACTCTTCCTAATGGCTGGAACATAGTTATTTACCGCTGTTTCAGGCATGGAAGCAATGTGACATGCCGAAGTCCTTTTGTCCCAAAAAGAAGTCTCACCCATAGGAAGAAAAAAAAATTATATAAATTGCAAGAGGCCAAAGGTCCAATCTTCCACTGCACCAAATGGGCTCAGGTATCCTCTAATAGTGGTTTCCATTATATACTGATCTTTGTTCATCTGACTCAGAAATAACATTCAACAAAATTGGTTAAGACATACCAGTGAAAGCAAAATAGAAAGCAAGTTAGCAACCATTCCCTAAAAGCTAGACAAATAACATAAACGACTGGAACCCGACTAATCAGATTTGAAATTGCTACCTAAGGTTTATCAATGGGTTAATGACCAACTACAGTCCTCTGGTCTACCAACTGAGCTAAGGCCAGTTCATTTAAAATGAAGGTTGCAATTCCATAAATCCATAGACATCACATCTTCCATTAAGAGGGGAAATCTATTCTAATGTCTAAATCTTTTTTCTATACATCATTACAATTTTAGAAGAGCAATGAAGAGGTGAAAATACAAACCTAAGAAGCAAAGACATCCAACCTACTGTATTAGAGCTAGGAACCTGAGGGTAATCTTTAAACCAATTACAGTATAAAAATAGGAAGCAGAATCAGCACAATATGATCCTACGAATGATCCATGATTCAACGATTGTCAGATAAGTTTTGACATTAATTGGAAGCAGAATCAGCACAATATGATCCTACTCCCATATATCAAGAACGAAACCAATACAGGAGAATTTATGGATAATTCTAGGCTAAAAGATTTATATCCTATCAGATGTAAGAATCAACCAACATAAAACTGACATTGTCTTAATTTCACTTTTATTTCAGTTCATCTAATTTATAGTAACAATGAGTCGAAAACTCAAATCATCATCAAAACAAGAGATACGAAGATCTAGCAATATATTGGTAAGATTCAAAGATAATCAAATGGTCAAGGTTATTTGAGGCCAGGACATTCAAATTATCTTTTAAGCTACATTCATAAACCTCGAAACTGAGCCAACGAGGAAAAAAAACCTCTTATCCTTTTAAAATGCTAAGATGTAAATGCAACCTTCTAAGTTCTAACAATCACTCACAACATCTACAAAAACCAATAACAATTTTAATGGAACATAATTAGTGTCAACCTACATATTCACTATCGACTTAAGCAAGAGATCACTGCGTGTCCACCACAAAACGAATGATTGAATGACTAATACGGAGTACTATAGTTTACAAGACAATAAACAAGCATCAGTTCAAACAAGTAGAAAACCAATCTAATAAGTGATAATCATCATAAAAACCCGACCAATCGAATACAAACCAACAACCTAACAATTAATAATATTCTGATCAACTACAGTCCTTAACTCTACCAACAGAACTACGATTGATTCCTTGCTACCCTTTTTGATTCATATTTTCACAAAAATAAGGTCAAATTAGGGTTCTTGTCCAAAAAATCCCAAAAAATAAAACAATAAATCTGCAACCTACTATAATTTACAAATTACACTGTGTCAGCAAAACTATAGGTACAATTAACAATCAAAGCTACATATGTTCATAAAATAACATTAAAAAATTCCACCAAAATTATCGGCGATTAATCAGGAAAATAATTACGATAATCATGCTGCAAATAATTAAGCAGAAATTAAAATATTAAAGCAATTAAATAATAAATATTACCGTAAAGCTCGGATAATTGGGGAAGATTATAAGCAGATTTGGAATCAGAAAACCCTAATTGCAAGAAACCGAATCCCCCAAACCGCCTAAGAAAGAGAGAGAAATCTGATTTGATTTTTAAAAAAAATTAAAAAAAAAAATCCGACCTGCCGGAATCAAACCAGCGACCTCAAGATTATCTGCATACAACTACAGTCTTCCGCTCTGCCAACTGAGCTAAGGTCGGATGTTTAATCATTTGATTGTAAAAATTTATTTATTATGTTAAAATTATAAAAGTGGGTTAAAAAAGAAAAAAAATCCGACCTGCCGGAATCGAACCAGCGACCTAAAGATTATCTGCGTACAACTACAGTCTTCCGCTCTGCCAACTGAGCTAAGGTCGGTTTTTGATATAATTGTACCTACTTTGGATTTTGTTATATAATACGAGCACTAATTATTTTTTTAATTTCTTTTTAGTGGACATGTTTGGACTTTTAAAGTTTGTTTTCTTTGACTGTTTTTATGATTTACAAACATGATAATGTGGTATTGTCAGATTTGGGTATGTAGATGATTATTTTCGAAGTAATGATTTAGAAAAAGAAATGTGTCATCTTAAAAGACTAGATAAAGTGCTCCTTTCGCTAGGTTATATAGATGGGATTAGTGTAATGTCTTTGTTATAATATTGCTCAAAACTTTAACTTTTTGAGTACTGTATGTAGCGATTCTACTATGTGATAAGAAGTTCTTTCCATTTTAGTATGCACAAAACCCAAGGCTAGACTTTACACATTTTGAATGTAAATTGTCGTTAACTATAAGAAAAGAAAAAAAAATTAGTCACGAGTTTTTTTTTTCAATGCTTATTGATCTTTTTATGCTATAAATAATCAAATGTGACAATAAATTTGAAATAGAAAGTCTATAACTTGATGTTGTGGCTTGTGCTGTTGTGCACATAAAACTCTTCATATTTGGAATCAAATTTTCTCACTTTCAATTAAATTTTTATTATTATTAGTTAGATTAGTTACACACTTAAACTCCCATAGAAAATTTATTCTACTATTTCCGTTAATTATTATGTACAACTTTTAAAAAATTTATATCTTACAAATAATACCGCAAATAATATATTATTTTCTGATGAGCAATAAGTACAGTCACATTAATATTGTTCTTTAAACACCTATGAGAAATTTTATTAAGATGTGTCAAGTTCAGCCAAAGGGAGATGAGGTAATTTTCAGCCAACACTACATCCTCAGCTGGTAAAGTAGTTAGCTTAAGCTATTATCAAGTATAAACTGAGATGTTTGGACGCAATACACGTAAATGGACCAAAGAAATGATAAGACGCGGTACAATAAATGATAATTTAGTAAATAAACTAGTTAGAATAACTTCTATGTAAGCTTATGTAGTTATCAACAGTTTAGTAACAATAACATAATTGTATTACTCTAAGGATGAGCCAAGCATCTTCTATTCTTGCCAGATTGTGCAGGACTTTCATAGTATAGACCAAATGCCCCAAATCAGGTTCTTCTCATATCAGCTCAATTGGCCAAGATATTACGATTTCTTGTAAGTGCTCACATCAGTATGAGTATCCATGTAGCGCTGGCTCAGGTATGTACTACATCGAACTGGAGGAAACCTGTTGGGTGGGAAATAGCGAGTAATGGACAGAGTGAGAGCAAGTATTTAACAACACATCTTCAAATTTTGGTATATTTTCTGTGAATTAGTGAAAAGACTGAAGTGCAAACACCAGGCCATAAAAAAATTACTTGGGAGGGTTAGTTTCTGATTTGCAGGTTGGCAAACATTCAACAAGACATTGATGACTAGGCTCCACAAAGTAGGCTATCTGCAAGCAAGAAAAGTAGCATAGAACTGTAAGACGAAATAAGGTTCACAAGTAATGGGTTATGATATAACATATAAGGATGTAGTGAACTAGTGATAGATATATTTAACAAAAGAAATAAGTCCAAGAAAAGGGAATGGGAGATTGGGAAAGCAGGGCTGTGAAGGGCCTTACAGAGTATCTATGTTGCCCATATCCAATAACCCTGTGCACGGTGGATCTGCAGGTTACAAACATACTGAAGTTAATTAGATGGAAAATTTTAAGGGAGCGATGACAAGTAGAAGAGCATCCTGCTCGGGTAAAAGGAAAGTTTTATAGCATGTGGAAAAATATATTCAAGAGAACAAAATGCTAAAAACGTCCAAATCAGACACAGCAAAAACATTCATGACAGGTGTAAAAAATCAAATACTCCATAACTGATTACTGTCATGGATAAGTCAAGTAGCCAAGAATAACTGATTACTCCTGTAGTGATTAGGAACACTTTTGATGCTCTGAAAGTAGATGATAGATAGACCTTGATGGGCAAGGTAATGATATAGAAGATAATAATAATATGGGAATGAATTGAATGGGCGGTAAACTTGAAAATGGTGAGGGGCCGGTTCCCCACTAGCCATCATGGACAGCCTTAGTTGGTATTTGATGAGAAAGTATTAGATTCATGCTCAAAACATTAGGTTGTTAGGTCTCTTCGAAGCAAAGGTCAAGGATCATTCTCTTGGGGCTTTGTACCTAAATCTTTGTCCAGGTTGGTGTATAACATCTAACCTATGTTTTCAAGGTGGTGGAGGGATAGTTTTGATTTGGGATCCAAATGTTTTTTTCTTTAAATTGTGCACATGCCACACGCCAGCTTATACAATGAAAGGTTACGCCTATAGTGAAGGGTAAGGAACTTAGGTGCACCTGAGTTTATGCAGTTAATGAAACAAGTCATAAAGATGCATTATGGGAAGACTTGCAACGAATTGAAGATATAATCTATCGCATGATTAGTCCACAGTAAATTTAGTATGATGCTAGACCCTAAGTATAGGATAAGGAAAATTGCAAGTAAAATGAGTATGCACATTGAGGTATTATTCTTCAAGGAGTGTATGGTATATTGTGGTATTTCAGACACTGAACAGTTTGGGAGGCACCTTATATGGAGTAACAAGCAGCAAGAAGAGCCCAGGGTGCTCGCTCTCAAGATAGAAATATAGCAAATGAAGATGGGAGGGGTGAATATCATACTTCTGAAGCCAGCACAGCAATGGTTAAAATGTTCCCTGATAATTCTAATGATAAAAAATCATTACAACCTAAGACAAGTCAAAAGAGTGAAGGACTGAAGGCTGACAAGAGATTTCCCACATATTCTTTGGAGTTTCTGGATATAATTCATACTACAAGTTCCCTTTTCCAGCACGGAAATGTGAACATGAACTCCTGAAGTTTAAGGATACATGGTTCTTACTCTTCAAATAAATAAAGAATCCTACGTCACTCAGTTTGATTAATTTACTTATAGATACTACAAACTTCTATTATCTCCATATTTAAGACTTAATTTAATCTTGAGACTTGAGAGGCATCATTTTCATCCTTAAAATGCGTTAAGTACTTTGCAACATTTTCTGAAATTAATTGAACCACATGATACACATCAAGCATATTGCAGAAAATTCGTGTAAAAGGAAAGAAAGATTGCACTTTACTTGAAAACACAGTTGCTCCAGCGCTCCAGCATGTCACCAAGATTCACGATAAATGCTCTGAGAGATAAGAAGCAAAATGGTTGATATCATATTTTTTTGGTTGATATCATATTCATAGCACCAAACACTAGATATATAATAATGTGCTGCTAGACAAAGGTTCAGAATTTGGAATAAAAACATGTGAAAGTAGGACATGTGAAAAGCGAGCTCGTGACACCCCTGCCTTTTAGTCACTCATCCATTTCATTTCTGCAAGTTACAGTGTTGGACATAGCTTACCCTTTTACAGGCGGTACATCTTCCCATATCTGTGGTTTGGCATCCTTATCCTTGCATATCTGCAACAAGAAAAAAGGGTAGAAGTCAACACAAAAATCATAATAAGCAAGACATGATGGTGATATCTAACAGGATTTCAGCACCATTCATACTTGCAGGCCATTTACATCATCTGTGGCCAAGAGTGTAATCAGACCATAATCAGAATGTGCACCAGCTCCATAAATTCCTTTTGACGTATCAGTAACTTTATCTAACAAAAATTTAACATGATTATTGGCAAGATTAATTATGATAAATAAGTTATCAGTTACTGAAATTAAATAAACAATTTAATTTCCACCTTCATAGTGCAACAGGCGTAAGATTGCGATAGGTTTCCCTAGCATCTCTGGCTTATCAAAGAAATCCGCGTCCAGACCAAGTGCTAGAGCTATAATCCTTGCAACACTCCTAGCTACCTCCCTGTATAAAACGGATATCACAGATAAACTTAATTGAGTATTAGAAGATAACGATGTGTCTTCTAGTCATTCAGTGTTAAAAGTTGGCAATCTTGGCATTAAGGATACATAACGCTTAATAAAACTAATGACACGTAATTTATATAGGTCCAGCCATTGATTGCTTGGCTAAGGTTGTGACAGATTCGGCACACATTGCAACTTGCTTGTAAATAAGGCCAATATATTCCACAGAAGAGAAAAGAAAGGATGACTCACAGCAAAAGAATAGCGATATATTATCTTATACAGTTATACTTACAATGCTTGGCTATGGTATTTCTCCATCGTTTGCCTCCAACCCGGCAAGAGATCTGGTATACAGAGAGAAGTCACGATATTAAAACGCATAATTCAACTCTCTACGCTGCCAAATTTAACATTTTTCATTTCAAAGAAATAAGCTCTACACAAGTTTAATAGAGGCATAAAATTAATCAGAGCAACATATTGGTTAACATAGATACTAATAAACTCAAATAGATTACCTGAAGCTGGCCAAACATTTGGCCCATAAAACGGCTTCTCTGCTTCAGGATCATCCTCAGGCACTTCAACACCAATATAATACCCCTCCTTGTAATCTCCTACAGCTAGTCAGCTAGACCATTAAAAATAAGTACAAATCGAAATAAGTACAAAAGTGACTGCGATATTAATTGAGCAATTGATTCCTAGTTAACACATTAGGCAATTACTTGCCTATTCAAGAATCCGTGACATTTAGCTAACATAATCTAGTCTTCAGCCTTTAATAAGCACTAGTATAACACATAATCAGACACCACATAGAAAGTTCATCAGCTTTCAAAATTCAACACCCTATGAGGCTATGACCCCATATAACATACCTATTTGAAATCTCCAATGACTAAATACTAGAAACGTTACATAAGCTATATAAAGGCACTCCACTAAAAATCAAGCAATCATTTTCTGGTACCTCAATCACCGTGATGCTCGGACTTTGATAT